GAGAGAGAGCAAGCACAGGCAGACAGAATGGCAGGCAGAGGCAGAGGGAGAAGCAGGCTCCCCGATGAGCAAGGAGCCCGATGTGGGACTTGATCTCAGGACGCTGGGACCACGACCCGAGCCGAAGGCAGCTGCTCAACCAACTGAGCCACCCAGGCGTCCCAATAGTGAACCTTTTTATATGGTTTTAGTTTTCTAGCAATAGTAGAGATAGCCCAGCCTACCAACCAGTGCTTGGCTAGGCATCAATAGATGTGCCTTTAGTTTAAAATACGACACTGAACTATAGTTCTTTGACTTCAGTTAAGAGAATATGCATCTGTTACTGTGAAATAGGGACAGATGTGTCAGGGCTCCAAGGAGTGTAAGTTCCCAGGCAAAAAGAAGGAATTAATGATTACCTTCATGTGGACAGAGGGAGAAGCAGGCTCCCCGATGAGCAAGGAGCCCGATGTGGGACTCGATCCCAGGACGCTGGGATCATGACCTGAGCCGAAGGCAGATGCTTAACCAACTGAGCCACCCAGGCGTCCCCCTTTACCTCAATTCTATCTCTCCTTTCCTTTTGTTCATTGGTCCAATTTTCCATCATCATACTTTCCCTTCTCTTGATATGAAAGTTGTATTTTCTTCCTTATCTTAGTATTTTGCCATAATTTTTAACAGGCCTTCTTAATGTCTCAAAATCCAGTCAATATCACTGTACAGTTCAAAAATGAGACATGGGAAATTATTTATTTATGTCCTCTCTCCTTACAGTATTTTTATTAGTGTCATCTAACATTTTACTTCTCCTTTCCTCAGTTTATTCCTCTTTATCAACGTGTTTAAAAATACTTTGTTTTCACCTTTGGTTCTTGCATATCTTCCTTATTTATAATACTTTTAGCAAATATCCCTAAGTAAGGCTCAACTCTTTGAAAGTGTCTTAATTGTACTTCTCAGATAATTTAGCTGAATCTAAAACTGAAGGAAACTAGATTCTTTCTCTTTAACAAGCTAAATATATGCCATTACCTTCTGTGTGTAAAGTCAACTGTCAGTGTAATTGCTGTGCACTTGAGAGTAATCTGCAAATTATCTTGGAATGAAAGATTTTATCTCATTCAATGTTCTGATCATAATTCACCAGATACAGATTTCTTTTTTAAGTCTTGTTGGGAATCGGTACAATTCTTAATCTGAAATTTCATGATTTTTTTTCATTTCTGGAAAAGTTCTCATTGTTACTTCTCTAAACATTGACTCCAGCTCATTATTTCTAACTTCTGTTTCTGGAATTCCTAGTGGAGATGTCCTGGACCTTTGGATTGGTTTCCATTTTCTTACCCGGACAGATAATTTACTCCAACAGACATACCCTCTAATTCTCTAATTCCACATTTGCTTATGTCTAATCAGTTCTTAACCCACTGTTCTATGGACCCTAAAGTCAGGATAGAGGTTATCTTCAGGGGAGGAAAGCAGGAGAATGTTAAGGAAGGAACACCTAGGTAGCTTCTAATGAATTGGTAGTATTTTTTTTTTCTTAGCCTAGTTTATGTTAAACAGATGTTTGTTTCAAATTATCTGCTGTACTATACATTACATTTCATGTACTTTCAGCATATATATTATCTTTTTATTAAAATATCCTTGATGACAAATAATCAGCAAGATTTGTTAATGTTAAACATTTTTTTGTATAAATTCTTCCCTTTCATTTCTATTCTTTCTATACGAAATGGCTAATATTATAACAGAAATTTCTACCTAAAGTTCACCTTTCCTTCATTTTATTCCTTCTTTTTCAATGTCTTTGTTTCTTTTAAAATGCATCTTAGCTTCTTTAGTCATCATATTTAAAACTCTTATGTCATACATCAGCAATATGATTTTTTTATTTGTCCCTTTCTGAATACTAGTCAGTACCTTTGTAACCTTGAACACATAATGACTGAATTTAAACTGTAAGAGGGCAGAGCAAGCAGTTTGAAGGCATTACAAGCAGCAATTTCTATTTCTCAAGTACCCTTGAATAATCTCCAGATGGAAATAAATTGAAGTTTTCTATCAACTGAAGTCTTTCTCCTGGGCCAGATTCCAGATTTAATAGCATTCATAATTGCCTTCTTTCCAAGCTATTTTTAACCTATACTTATTAGATTTTTGCTTGAATTAACAACACATTTTACAAATATGCCTGGGTTTTTTTTTACTACAATTACAAATACAAATTATATACAAAAAAGGCATAAAATATATCAGAATATTTATAAATAAAAGCATAAAAATTTAGAGTTGATTACACACAGGATAGAAAACAACCAATGAAATTTTGTGGAGGCATGGAAAAGACATATGCAAACCATGCTAATTACCAATAATACAATTAATGATAATACAATTGTCCAAGTACTATCATTGAATTGTATTAAGTATATGATTCATTCTATGTATCTATTTCACATTATTTTCCCACTCTAAAATTTTAACTTTTTATAAGTTTTTATTACTATTCAACTTTATATTCAGTCTTTTGGACTCATAGAAACCATGTTTTATCAAATAGTGCAATAAGAATAAAATAAGTGACTAGTATTTTAAATAGTCTTAAAATATTTTTTATTCCCAATTCACTTACATAATGTTCTACTGACTTACTATGTGAAATTTGCAACATCAAATGTAAAATTCCAGTTTGAAACTAAAATAATTAAGGTGAGGTTATGTCTAATTATGTTCAGATTTTAAAACACAGTAGTTATTATCCCAATATCTCCTTCTAGAAATAATACAAAATTCCTTTACTCAATTTCACAATCATTGATATCTGGAAATAAAGAATTTTAAGTAGTCTTCCAGATACTTTGGATAAGTCAAAAGATGACAGTTAAAAGACATTTTTATGAAATATCAAAAAACACTGATAATTTGGGAAAATTCATCTCTAGATAAATTAGTTGAAGCAAGATAAATGGATTAATAAAATTGCAAAATATAATATAACACATGTCCATGCTCAGTATTTACTTGTTATGTATCCAAATAATCGTCGGTTTAGGGTTTCCTTCAGCCCGGCAAGTAAAGTAGACAGTATTCCCTGATGTTACCTCCACGTCTTGGGGCTCAAAAGTAATTCGAGGACTCTCTGTAACAGAAGAATTATTGGTATGCTTTTAAAGACACAAAATTACAGTACTCTAAAATATTATTGACAAAGGACTACAGATAATTTTAATTTCCTTCTACATTAAAGTTTTACAAATTATACTGCATCTACCCAGTAACATACCAGTTTTGATGTTAGACATATATTTAACAAAACTTTAGAAGTTTGAAAGATTCACTGCATAAAGGAATTTCCAATGAGGTAAATTAAATAAATTTCCCTATGCTTTTATTTCTAGTAGTCCAATACAGCCATATTTATGGAAGGAGTTTGAGTTTATGGGTCAATATTTCAAGCTTAGTACTTCAGTTGAGCTTGCAATTTTTCAGGCATTTCTCTAGACAATTAGCATCTAACTATCCACTTTATACACTTTGTAAGAATTTGTATGTCTAGACCTCAAACCTGGTTGAACAACATTACTTAATAATATAAATTAGTGTTTCCATTCCATCATTCCATGATGAAACATGGAAACATTTAAATAATTTTAATAAGTGGAGTGATTGATATTTAATGAACCAGACAATATTATTGAATTTAAATTATAGAGAACAATTTATAAAAGGGAACTTTGCCTTTCTATAACAAATTTAACATAATTTTTTAAACCTATCTAAATGATAAAACTCTTTCTTTTTAAGTGGATCATTTGAGACTTCCAATCATTAATAAACAACCAGATCTGACATGTCTGGAGAATGTTACATTCATCTCTATTAATCTTAACCACTTCAACAAAAGTCCATATAACCAATATCTTGGCCTTACCCTTTTTAGAAAAATGGTATGATTCATTTACATATATTTATTTTAAAAAAGAATTCAACATTACAGTGTGTCAGGCATAGTGCTAAGTAGGTGATGAAACAATGATCAAAACAAATTCTCTGTACTCATGAGCTTATAGTTTTGTTGAAGCAACTGAAAGTAAAACAAACACAAACATGTAGGATAATATGTTGCTATAAGTGCTAAGAAAAATAAATGGTGATTTGATAGATTATGAAAAGGGACCTGACTCAGAGTGTGTGGGGTAGGGAGAAGGTGAGTAGAGAGCAAAATTAAATAAAGCTTTTCCAAGTAACTAATCTTTAAGAAGAGGGCTCTTAAAAGAAGAGAGGCAAGAAGAATATTGTAGGCAGAGTCAATAACGTATAGAGAGTCTTGGTTGAAAAAAAGCTTGGGGCGCCTGGGTGGCTCAGTGGGTTAAAGCCTCTGCCTTCAGCTCAGGTCATGATCCCAGGGTCCTGGGATCAAGCCCTGGGATCAAGCCCCGCATTGGGCTGTCTGCTCAGCAGGGAGCCTGCTTCCCCCTCTCTCTCTGCCTGCCTCTCTGCCTACTTGTGATTTCTTTTTTTTTTTTTTTTTTAGATTTTTATTTATTTATTTGACAGAGAGAAATCACAAGCAGGCAGAGAGGCAGGCAGAGAGAGAGGAGGAAGCAGGCTCCCTGCTGAGCAGAAAGCCCGATGCGGGGCTTGAACCCAGGACCTGGGATCATGACCTGAGCCAAAGGCAGCGGCTTAACCCACTGAGCCACCCAGGCGCCCCGTGATTTCTGACTGTCAAATAAATAAATAAAATCTTTTAAAAAAATTTAAAAAAAAAAAGAAAAAAAGCTTAAGAACTTCTAGGAACTGAAAGAACATCATGATGACTAAACATCACTGACAGATTCGGAGGCAGAATGAATCAAGGTTACAGAGTAGCCAAGGGCCACAACATATAGGAAGTGTGGTCTTGTTAAGGATCTGGTGTTTCATTTGAAGGTATGGGAAGCTATAAAAGAGCACAAAAGAATTATATCATCAGATCTGTGTTTTAAAAGATCTCCCCAAATATAATAGATTGGAGAGGGAAGAAAATGAAAGCTGGACAGCAGTTAAGATGTTCTAAATTCCCAGCAAACTTGACTAGGACATAAACTCTGAGTTGATAGTAAAGATGGATGTTAAGGACAAATTTGAGATTTATTTGTAAATAAAGAGAAGTCACTTTTCGTCTCAGTCTGGATGGAATTAAACTATACTGGCTTCCAGTGAATGGGGCATTAGAAAGCAATTTCTGCTATAAGCTATCACCCTAGTAAATTTTCAAGGAGCCCAATTATCACACATATGCATGCATATGTATGTATCTTCATATATTCATATTTAAAGCTATATATAAAAATAGATTAGATAGATACACAGGTAGATATTATTTATTTATATTAAAAGCTTGAAGGGAGAACTGAATAAATTCTCTCTTTTTTTTTTTAAGAGTTGGTTCATTTATTTGACACAGAGAAAGAGAGCACAAGGTGAAAGAACAGGCACAGAGGGAGAAGCAGACTCCCCGCTGAGGAGGGAGCAGGACACAGGGCTCAATCTCAGGACCCTGGAATCATGACCTGAGCTGTGCAGATGCCTAACCAACTGAGCCACCCAAGTACACCGAGAACCAAATAATTTCTAAGAAGCTATACTTGGATCTTTAATGAAAGCCTGATAGAATTATTAAAGCGGTCAGAATAAGAACTATGCTTACCAAATCCAGAGTTTGCTTTACTATTATGAATATTAATAATCATTTGATCTAAAGTTGAAAAAAACCTCAATTATTGATTATTAACATGTAAGTAATACTGGTTTAAGGGGAAACTTTAATGCTGATCAGAGTGTCCTGTAACCTTGTTGAAAAATAATTTTCTTTAATATTTCTCTTTGGAAATTTGAAAGTTGGATTAAATGATACTCAAGGACTATCTCAGCTCTGTTTATGGATGATAAAAACTTCATTTTTCAAGGCCATTGACCATACTTTTAACTAAATCCCTTGATAACATTTTCTGATATTATGTTCTTCCAAATGCAACATCATATAGAAAACCTTTATAGAAAGGGGGCAAACAAAAGACATTTCCATTTTACACACAGAGAGAAAATTGCATACCACAGTTGAACTCCTCTACTGTTAACGAAGCGATGGAGCGTCCCTGGAGCCTTCTGGGATATTCACATGTAGCAGCAGCCTGAGTCTGGCCATTTCGGGCATAGCCTTGCATAAGTTCCCCCAGCCACATTAAATCACAGTCACAAACTAGAGCATTGGAATCCAGACGCCTAGGCATGCAGGTAAGAAATACAACTGTTGAAATTTTAGTAACTATTAAATCAGATGTCACAACAAGTGTGCTAAATAAAAGACAACTGTCTTTTGATAGTATTTTGTCAAGAATCACAACACCCAAATTACGCACTTGGACCTATTCACTGCTCAGTGGGCAGTTTCAAAGGGAAACAAAAGCATAAGGTAAATTCAAATTCAAATCTTTCTATTTGAAAATAGAGTAATATATCACTTGTACTTATATAATCCCTTTCACTTAAAGATCCAAAAGCACTTTTTAGAAAGCATTTCATTATTTTTTTCGGTACTCTTGGAAGGAATGTGGTTGTCATGAGTTAGAAATGATATGGTTCAGATGGGATACCCGTATCAGGTGTAACACACAGCTCCTGGGGCGATAGGGCACATGTGATTCACACAGGTTTCTCGGACTCGCAGCTGTTACTTGTGAAGTGACATTCTCCCAATAGTTGAGAGACTTCAGTGTGGAAGATAGAATTTATTGGGGGTACGTGTTGTTTATTTACTAGCCCTTGGTTACTTTCTTTTATTCTGATATTCATGTGTAAATTACAGCCTGGATAGTCATGAGTTTGAGGATTTGGAATAACTAGGTACAAGTGCTCGTCATCTCAGACTGAACAAGATCTCATGAACCCTGGAAGAGTTTGCTCAAATCGTCTGTATGTCAGTTTACCATGACCATAAGTGATCAGTGTACCATCTATGAAAAGAGACACTTCATCAACATAACATACTAACAACATTATCTTATATTTAGCTTAAAACATTTGAAATATATATAGCACATGCATATAAGATGCATACTGGCACATCACTGTGGAAGTGTCTTCCTCTGCTTCTTTATGAGTATTTATCTCTCTGTGGGTGTTCCAGCAATGCAGTGAATGCAGTTTCATTAAACGTAAGAAGTTAGAACAACAAAAAAAGCTGCTACTAAAATTCAACAAGAAAGTATAATAGGGATTAGAAAAACAAACAGGAGATTTAGCATTTCAAGACTTTCTGAGAGCCTTAGAAGTCAAGAATGATACTGAGATAGAAATGTATATAGAAAAGAAACATTTAATGGGAATTATAATTGCAAATATACAAAGACAGTGACTCTAACCACAAGTGATAAATTCAACAAAAGAGAAGGAGGCAAGTAAAAAAAAAAAAAATATATATGTATATATATATATTCCTACTGCTACCAAAATAAAGCATCCTATGACCTGATTACAAAATGCCTTGGCATTTTTCAGTTTCCAGATATGACTTAAAAACAAGAATGTTAAAACAACAATGAGATAACACTACACGTTTGTTAGAATGGCCAAATCCAGGACATTGATGACACTAAATGCTGGTGAGGGTGTGGAACAACAGAGCTCTCATTCACTGCTGCTGGGGCTAAAAATGGTATGGCCCCTTTGAAAGACAATCTGACAATTTCTTATAAAACAAAATGTACTTTAACCATGCCATCCAGCAATCATGCTCTTTTGTATTTATCCAAAGGAAGTGTAAACAATGTCCCCTCAAAAAACTACACATGGATGTTTAAAGCAGCTTTATTTGTAATTGCCAAAATTTGGAAGCCAACAAATGTCCTTCAGTAGTGAATGGATAAAGAAACTGGTTCATCTAGACAATGGAATATTATTCAACACTAAAAAGGAATTAGCTAGTAAGCCATGAAAAGACATGGGAGAATCTTAAATGCCTATGACTAAATAAAAGAAGTTAATCTGAAAAGGCTGCATAGTGTATTATTCCAACGGTATGATATTCGAGAAAAGACAAAACTATGGAGATGGTAAAACGTCTAGTGCCAGAGGTTAGGGAGAGGAGAGGATGAATATGCGGGACACAGAGGACTTTAAAGGCAGTGAAAATATTCCGTGTGACATTATAGTGATGATATATGTTCTTATACATTCATCTAAACTCATACCAAGTACAATAACAAGAGTGAACCCTAAGATAAATTACGGACTTTGAGTGATTGTGGGATATAAATTTTAACAAATGTAACACTCCAGTGGAAGGTGATGGAGGGGGAGGCTAGGTAGGAAGAAAGGGTATGTGGGAAGTCTCAGTACTTTCTGCAAACCTAAAACTGTTCTAAAAGATAAAGTCTTTTATAACAACAAAACAAGAATCGATGCGCTAATCCAAATGTCTGTGGTGCAACCAGTTCTGAGAAATGAGGAAATTTTGACGGAAAAGGAGAATCCTCAAGCAGATGTGGGTCTGAGCACAAAGAGCACAGCCTGAGGAGAAAAGACGGTAAGGCAGCATCTACTGTGAGAATTGCAATGAAAGTAGAGAATATACACTTGACAAAATGGACTGGGGCTAGGTGAATGGTCTTCCTGATTAATTATGATCCTTAAAACACAATGATTCCAAGCATTATTTCCAGGCACCAATTAAACACAAATTTATTTCCCCCAGTGTTCTGATACCTACTTAATCTTAACATTTCCTCGCCCATTGACCTGGACCTGGACACATCACACCAGAAAGACACCAGCAACAACATGACCTCCAAGACAGCTGAGAGATATACTTTTGTGATTTTTCCCTCTGTGCCCTCCAAATAGCTCTGGGAAGCAGGACATGAGACTTTCACCTGATAACTGGGACTTACTGAGGGAAAAAAACAACAATCCCAAACCCATCAATAAAGCAGAAGTCTACCCAGAGAAAGGGGTGAAGAGACAGATCAGGGTAAAAGCGAGTGATTCACACAGGCAGAGAGAAAAGTGAGGCAGTTGGAGGCTCAAACAGGATTGGGAGGTTTACTCCAATTCTTTTAGTGTAGGAAGAAATGAATTCAATCAGTAACCATACCTGCAACAAGGGAAAACTTCTGAGGCCTGGCCAGAGGAGTTAGACTTTCTTTGGAACTTCTCACATCTCTTTTTAAATAAAAGTTAAAGGAAAAGAAGTCTTGGGAGTCTTTAGATTTGACCAGCAAGGAAATTACTGAGAACCAAGGAAAACTTCTATCTTCAGTATTCCTTTTGAATGTCACTTCTGAGAGAATACATGAAAGCGTAGTCGACTGTCTGCGTCCTCTACCACTCTGCAGTTAACGAAACCATTTTCTACCTTACACGCTAGAATTGCAATGATCTTTCAGGGCCAAAGGAGACAAAGGCAAATCGTTGCTTAGGATTTATTTATTTGGGGGAAAATTATAAGGTTTCTATCTCTGTGCACTTGCTCTCACTTACAGTCTCTTTAATGAATCCAGATGAGCAAAGCTCCCAGCTGGGATTTTAGATAATTTGTTGTTATGCAGAAACCTGAAAAACAAAAGATAACTTTGAGCTGAATCACCACACGGCTTTGGGAGAGAGCTTTTTTTTTTTTTTTCCTTTAATGAATTGTGGATCCAAATACATTTTTTAAAGTATTTCAGTGAGAAAGGGCAAATACAAAACAGAGTGTCATTTATGCAAGCACGTTTTTAAAGATTTACATGTATGTATTTTCTGACCCATGGTTTTTTTGAATTTCTGGTTTTATTTAGTTAGAGATTACAAATGCTAAGGAGAAAAATCACAGAATTAAGTCTTTAAACACATAGGAAATCAAGGTAGAGAATGTATTCATCAAAAAGAATGGCCCAATGATGTATGACTGCAGCAGCCTGCAAGAGAGCCATGATTAACCGCATCCTGTGGGTGGCAACCCTTTGTCTACCTTCACTTACAGGCCACCAGCAGTCTTGCTAAATGACAGTTCCATTTGGTGCTACTGTGGTTCCTGGTTCAGCCAACCATTTGCCTGATCCCTTTCAAATTCATGCCCACGTTCGTGCTCCAGGCAGATCACAGAGAAGCACATCCCCAGGTTCTGTTGCCAATGGCACTCTGAGGCCCAGGGCCACAGTATTTCTATCCTTCCTTCCCCCTGGTCGGTTCTGCACCAGTGTGGGTTCCCTGAACACTGCCCTGGCCATACCACTTCTTCCCACTGTGGGGAGAGAAACTGTGACTAGGAAATCACCAGCTAGGCTTCATCTACCCACTAGCACCGCTGAAAACATATTCAACAAAGAGCGCATGTTTGAAGAGAGGACGAAACAGTAGTCTGCAAAACAGAGGAAAGCTCCATGCCATTGATTTCTAGGGACTGTGGGAAATGAGCGCAAATAATCAAATAATGTGTAGAAAATGTTAACAGTTACAACCAGCCTCACTCTGAGTCCTAGTCCATGGCCAGTGCCCCATCTCAAAATTAAATAAGATTATCTGACCATGTTTTCCTAGCAATGTATGGTTTTTGTTTAATTTTAACTATTTTTTCAATTAGGGATTAAGGTAACGGGCTGTCCTCAGGAGTCAAAATATTTTTATGACTTTGGAATTTGATGCACTTCCGAGTAGATATAATTTTTTTCCTGGTCCTTACTATTTTAGTTCTTTATACCCATTTTCTTCTGCCCCACCCAATTCACCAAACTCAGAAGCAATGACTAGAGAAGAAACAGTAAACAGTTAGTTAGGTTAAGATGGGCGTACAGACAGAAGTCACACAGTAATTCTCATTCCCCAAAAGCCCTAACCCATATCCATATCTCAGGAGATATTGGAAAAGAATTTAATAATGGAGAAGTAGATTGTAGTACATTGCAGCTGAACCTTGGGGAAAGCCACATAATTTGGACAACTATTCATGTGTTTTTTTGTAGGACTATAAACTTATTTCACTATTTAAAACTAGTAGAGCACAGTGTGATAACAACAATTAAAATGATGTTGATCATTCTCTTAAAATATTTCTTTCAAAAATTTTATTTATTTATTTGACAAAGAGAGAGAGCATACAAACAGGGAGAGTAGCAGGCAGAGGGAGAGGGAGAAGCAAGCTCCTTGCTAAGCAGGGACATGGGGCTCCATCCCAGGACCCTGAGAGCATGACCTTAGTCAAAGGCAGCTGCTTAATCAACTGATCCACACAGGTGCCTCTCTCTTATCATATTTAGAAGGCTGGAAATTGCATCAATAATCAGAGATTGAAAGATATTATCTATTTTCCAAGCCAAGTAGACCAGAATTGTTTAACAGGCAAAACAAGTCAAGAAAAAAAAAATAATAATATTTTTTCATCATCACAGATTTTGAAACAAAGTATGTAATGTTGAAAAAATATTATCAAAAATTTTATTTCATTTGATATAGTGACAAAATGTCCAAATTAATGTTATTTCAACATCAGTTTCTGTCATACATATTATTAGGGTTCCCAAATCAGATATTATTGCTACTTGTTATATCTGTAACTATTTGTTTTCAAGTAGATTAATATCTCTAAACCTCAGTTCCTTTGTCTATAAAATGAGCTTATTATTATAATAATTATTATTATTCATCTCCTAGATTACTATATCAGTGACAGCACCAAAATAGTAGTCGTATTTCAGTGGTACTGTTCAGCAGGGGTGCAAAACTGCATGTCTATGCTTTCTTTTTCCTCTTTCTTCTTTCCAACTAATGTTAAGTTAATCTTCAAAATGTTTCTGCTAGTTGTTGAGTTGTGCTTGTAGAAATATCACTTTGTTTGTTTTGCCCCCAATAAGACCTAAAAAGCATCTCTTCCTGTATTGGAAAGTTCATATAATAATTATTTGCTGCTAATGTTTTTTTTACCAAAGATATTTGGTTAAAAAGAAAATTAACAGTATCCATTGCACTGAAATTGATGCAAAGTCTGATCTCTTTCTTGTGACAGAAATATACACATTATCAAACAAACCAAGCCATGAGTGGGTTTTTTCAACATTAATGTTCTGAGGAGAGAAAAGTATATCTTCTGCCTGAAATTTAGGTTTGCATCTCAAGATATCACCACTGGAAATCCAAGAGACTTCTAAGGTGTAGAGAAAACCATATTCAGATCCTATACTTAGAGAAAGCTGTTGAAAGAGCCTTTGCTGTAGTGAGGTACATGCATGATAAAGAAGATATCTCTGGGCTGGTTGACTCGATGCCAGTCCCTGCTGCTCCATAAAGCATCCCGTGTGATGTTGTTTCAAACTGGTATTCTTTCCAAACCAATAAAACGAAATGTATTCTAGTCACCATGAATGTTCTTTATGGCTACAAAATACCAGGGTTTCCTTCCCTTGGTATATTTTTCCCATTTTTTAAAGAGAGATTCATTAAAGCTTCTAGAAGAAAAATCATGCAATATACAAACTAGAGTTTGCCGAGGTCAGTGTGCATATGAAATAAATACAGGAATCCAGCCTTATGAAGAATGTCTACAGTCTCACCACTTTGCAATCGGCAAGTGGCACTGGGGAGAAATAGCACAGTTATCAGGTTCTTCAATACCAACCACAAATTATTACACAAAAAGTCATATTTTTGTATACTTTGACAAGCATTACTGCAATTTTCTGCCTGTGCATCAAGCTCTAAATTACCAGCTTGAATATTTCAACCTATGTGCCTTCACCAAAGTGTAAAGATTCTTCTGCTTGGTGACATAATAATAATTAGCTTATGACTGTATAAGAGTAAGGCTTATTGCTAGGAAAATTTTAAGTTTGGTAAAAGACCAGGATTTTCAAATTAACTCTTCTCTTTATAGGAAAGATGAAGATGCATGTCTTCACTTGCCTGTATTGGCATCATGCACCCAGGGAAAAGAACATTCCACACAAGTGGTAGAGGTTGGTATTTATGAATGCAACACATGGGGACTTTTATCAAATCCTGTAAGTAAAGAACTATCCTAAATATTGTTACTACCACTGCTGAATGTACATTACTTGAGGATGTGTGGTTACAGACAAAGTCATGTGGTTATAGACAAAGGCATGCTGAATCTGTATAGATTGAGAATTACCTTAACAAAATAATTTAATTTTAATATTTAAAATATTATCTCAACAAACACACTTCAAGGTTATAGGGAGAAGAATTCTAACTCAAAAGAGTGAATGAGACATGCAAATTTGCCTCATTCTCTTTCAGAAGTCAACTGAAATAATAGCTCAGATGGTCAATACAAAAATAAACCCATAACAATCAAAAGGACAGGATGCATAAGGTTATCAACAGATAAGAGATTTCAGTGAACTCTGGAAAATACAAAATGCATGGAAGAAGGCTGGAAAATGAAACAGAAAAAGCAGAATCCCAGGGAATATATGAAGCAGGAATAATCTGATTGTTTGGGACCCAAGACACCAAACAGAGTAGAGGGACAGGATGGTAAATGAGGTTCACCGAACATGTGGATGGAGAAATGTAATTAATTTGTAGCTGTGGCCAAATGCTAAGAGGAAAAAAATTAATATATATATATTTCTTATTATTAAATATATTATTTATTATCAAGTATTATATTATTCTCACTAAATATATACACATATATATATTTCTTATTATTTTTTTCTTTTTTTTTGATTGATTTTTTTTTAATTTTATTTTTTATAAACATATAATATATTTTTATCCCCAGGGGTACAGGTCTGTGAATCGCCAGGTTTACACACTTCACAGCACTCACCATAGCACATACCCTCCCCAATGTCCATAACCCCACCCCCCCTCCCAACCCCCCTCCCCCCATCAATCGGAGAAAGACAACTATCATATTTCTTATTATTTTTATAGGTTTTTCTCTAAAGAAATTTTAAAAATTGACAAAGAAAAGTAACTAATTTTGTGTGGAGCAGCAACTGAAGAGGAAGCCTTTCCTTTCACATTCTAGTATTTTAGATGGAGAAATCTGCCATTTTCCTACCCAACTGTCCAAACTAAAATTCTCTTTCTTTGGAATTTAAAAAAATTTTTAAATTCCCTCCAAAATGGGAAATTTTGGAAGAAAACAGACCTGCCTACAAGGGAACAGGAGAAACTTAGACCCCCAACCCAATATTTTCAAGTATAAATATCAAGGATCACAAGGCACTGGAGCTTAATCAGGACCATGGCAAAGAAAGACCAAGACAAAACAAAGAAAAACCAACTCCAGAAGAAGCAGGGGAATTCAAAGAACTAAAAAAAAGAAATATAACAAAAATACATTGTGATTAATGTACTCAGAGATCTTTCAAAAATATGTATATAGTTTTTATTTACATAAGAGGGAGAAAACTAAAAGTTAAACCTTTTTTCCTTGTTCAGTTCCCTACTCCTTCAAGACCATTCATGGATCCCAAGATAACAGCTCCCTCTGAAAGGTAGGAGGTGCCATCACTGCGATCAGGCCTGTGGGGGCTTCAAGATCTCCTTTGGGGAACAGGAATCACCCCTTCCCAGTATTCAGTGGAGGAAAGCAGTGCTTATTTTTATCAGCAAATCTTTCCCCAACATTAAAGTCAGTGGCTTAGGTTTTTTTGAGGTTATTAGTTATCGTGATGCTAAATCTTGAATTTACTGAGGTGGATCCCACTGCTGAAGCCTGATGGAGCAGGAAATGGGTAAAGTTCTCTCCTCCGTGACATGCTTTCAGCAAAGCAAGAACACAAATCTAAACAATGAAATTTTATGCATTACAGTTCCTATACTTCTATATGTAAATAAGTTTGGAGTAATGGCATGGAAAAATGGTCGATTAGCTCTTTTTTATCTTTTAATTTTACTGGTCTATTTCATGTATCAGAATGAAAGGGCATCCTTTTCAAAACCTACAGACTCCTAATTACAATTTCTTTTCAGATATATTTTAATTCAAACTGATTCCTGATTAAGTTTAGCTATGTCATTCTGCATTTTTTTCTGTTCATAAAAAAAATCCATATCTTGTGCTAAAATCACAATTAATTTGTTAATATAGGGTATTAGAGGAAATGAAGGGCTAGAGTATTTTCATCTGATAAAAGACAATACAAAAGGAGGCTGTCCAAGTATTCTTTTGGTTTGTCATTGTCTTTAATAAAGTTTTATGAAATATAACATTCATCTAGAAAAGTACACACATTATGCTATAAGTATGATGACTTTCCTGAAAGTGAATACAGCTGGGAAAACAGAAAAAGACAAAACTGCCAGGACTCCAGAAGCTCCTTCCTGCTGTTCCTCAACATCTCCTTCTCTCCAAAGGTAACCACTATTTAACTTCTAGCTATTACACATGTTCCTGCTATTTATGAATTCAAAAAAAAAAAAAAAGTCAAACTATGTAATTTTCAATGTTTGGATTTTTTTTGCTCAAAATGTTTGAGATTCATATGTGCTATATATATATGAATATACAGCAACTTATTTGTCTTCTTTTGTTGTTGAATGCTTGAGTACCTCTAGGGTGAGTTGTTATAAGTGATGCTGCCATTAATACTCCAGAACACACTTCTGACGCATATGCACACATGTGCACGTCTGTTGTGTCCATAACTAGAAATGGAACTGATGGATAGGTCATAGGGGATGTGTATGGTAAATTGTGGTAGATTCTGCCCTAAGATTGCAGAATGTTTTTTTACCATCTTCATGAAGTGTTCATTGCTTTTGCCCTGTTTTTAATTGGGTTATTCGTCTTTTCTCCATTGATTTCAAACTATAGAATGGTGTACAGTAACTCTATCTTATAGTACAAAGGTGCAGCCTTTCTTCGTAGGCTTACAACAAAATGTCCTGATCTCCTGGGAAGTCAATACATTGTATAAACTGAAAAAGTAAAGCAGAAGCAAAGGAGACTAAAAAGCCAACACTTACAGTCGCTCTAATTTCAGAAGGTCTCCAAAGGTCTCTGGCTGTAGCGTTTCTATTTGGTTGAAATGAATATACCTGGAAGGCACAAAACAAGCTGGTTATTTCTTGTGCTGGTGAGCAAAATAAAATGTTTGAGGAATTAACATAGCTTCCCTGAAATTCAGTCTGAAGTACTTCAAGTCCCCTCTGTTCTTTACAGTCCTGGGTCTAAAACCTGATGTTCCAACAGGGAACCAAGAGGAAGCACATCCAGAAGCACATCAATGTCACCTCTTCTCTTAGGCAGCACTCTTGAGTAGAAAGATGCTACATGGTTAGTGAAGTCAAGCTTCCACTCAAAAATTTTTCTAAAGATTTTGCTTATTTATTTGAGAGAGAGAGAGAGAGCATGTGAGAGAAAAAGAAAGAGAAAGCACAAGCAGGAGCAGAGAAAGAGGGAAAAGCGGGCTCCCCACTGAGCAGGGAGTCCAACTCGGGACTCGATCCCAGGACCCTGGGATCATGACTTGAGCCAAAGGCAGACGCTTAACCAACTGAGTCACCCAGGTGCCCCTACTTATTAAAATTTTTTAAAGTGAAGCTAGGATAATAAGACACATTACACGTGACCACATGCTTATTACATTTCAGGATAGAGGGAATGCTCCTGCTAGAGAAGATAAGAAATGACATATTTTATGTAATAATATGACTATTTAAAATGAATTATTTATGCCTAAGGATATATACAAAATAATGTATCTTGTTTTAATCCATTTAGAACTAGACCTTTTCAGTCCTTGGTAACCCCTTATGCAATTGATCCAGTGGAAATTTCCAAAGCTGCCATTTCAGAAAGGCTTCTCTTGAAGTAACAAGCAGTACAACTAAGGACAGAAAGTTTCCCTTTCTCTCAGAAATTCTGTGATGAAATGGAGAAACATTCCTTGAAAGCAGAGGGCTGAGCAAAGGAAATCTTAGATCCACTGCTAAGGCTACATAGTTCTCTACAAAAATTTAAATATCCACCTTGCACCTGACTTCTAAAATAGCTTTATCAAAATCATTGAAATGAAACCAACAGCCTCATCCAGCAGTCTATAGTGAACTGTCGGCAGAAAGCACCTCAAACACAAAATTTGCCATGAGAAAGAACAGACCCAGTCTCATACTGAATTATGTCCAAACAAAGGAACACAATAAATTGCACTGACTTAGTCAACAGAAAGTTACTTGACTTGAAGTGAGGACACAAGAAGAGAAGCGTTATATTTCATATGTTTGCATTAATTATTTATTTAACCACAATTAGAATTACTTTTGAAAAAAAAATAAAAACATTTTAAAGAAAAGAAACACATCTATTTCATTCATAGGCTCCTTTCTTATTAAATCATTATTACAGGATGAGCACTTTAGACACCAATGCAAAAGCATAATAATTACAATAAAATGAATAGGATGTAATTGAAATGGAAGGATAATTTCTGAGTGTGTTAGGATGGATCCTGGAGGCAGTGCTGTACCTTCCCACTTCCTGAAATTTCACAACCTGGCTGATGGTCACAACATTCCTTCCAAGGATTCCACTCATTATATAAGCAACAATAATGACACTGTGTAAGACATAATTGACTTAATGTTTGCATAAAACAACTTTGTTCTTTATATTACACACATATACTCACACATACTACATACTACCCTCTAAAAATCATTACTTCTGTAACTGGTCTAGCACACAATGGAGGAGGTAGAGCCTGGAAGAGTTCAAGAAAGAAGGGATGGGAATGGGGTGTTCAGGGTAAGACCAAGTGTGGGAGGAAGGAAGGGAGAGAGAGGAGCTTCAGTAACCACATTGAAGAAAGTTTTGGAAAGAGGCCATTTACAGGATTTTTCTTTCCAAGTTAAATGCATTGCATCATTGGGATTTCATGTTTACTAACATAGAGTACAAATGGACACTTCATGATGACTATGAATAAATGCTGATTAGGGCTTCAATTTTAACATGAACTAAATAATAATAACAGCAACAACACAAAACACTATTATTCCACATATATTACATGCATTTAGTCATTTTTTATTAACATATAATGTATTATTTGCTTCATCAGTTTACACAATTCACATCACTCGTTACACCCTCCATCCTCACAACATTTTTAATCCTCACAACTATGTCGTGAGATGAGTTCTATGAAAAGCTACATCATTCAAAAGGGAAAAATGTGGTATAGAGAGGTTATGATACTTGCTCAGTTTTGCACAACTTGGAATTGCTGAGATCACGATTCAGTTTAGGCAGATGCTTACTTTTTTTTTTTTTCTTTTCTTTTCTTTTCTTTTCTTTTTTTTTTTTTTTATCAACTAAGCCTGCAGTCTGGTGGCAAAGAGAGCAGCTGCACACAGATCAGCAGACAGGCAGAGCACACATGGATGACCTAGTGAGACCTGATCCAACAACATCAAAAGCAAAGGCTTTCTCAGGTAGGGAAATGTCTGCTCCACATGGAGAACTCAAGAGCTAACCAGTAATAAATCCAAGCTATGCATTGAACAAAACCAGGGCTTACAGACATCACTGGAGGCTACTTCTCAGCATGCCTGGCATCCAATCCTACTACATTAATACCTTCCTCTACTGGAAGGTGTAGAGTCCCTAACTGAAGGAAAGTATCGCATTACAGTTCCTGGAACAACCTAGGAAGCCACAGGAAAAGAGGTCACAAGTTAAGGTCTGTCATTTAGCAGCTGAATGTCAATTTTCAGATTTTAAAAGTGAGTACTTTAGTTTATGAATGAACTAAGCCCTTGTTTTCCCTCCTTCCTACTTTTTAAACTTCTTGTGAACAATTTTTTTATTAGAATTTTTACCACATAAAAACTGGAGTTTCGGAGAAACACTTCCCATTGGCATCATTAGTCAAACAAGCATCCTGCAGAGCTTGCACCGGTATCCAGGTAACTAAAAAGAAGGTATGAGCAGAGCTTCCATTGAGAGGGCTTCTAATCACTGAGTCAACTAAAATCAGGGCCAGAAGACAATCTAAGGGTTAAAATGACATACAACACTTTGTTCAATATCATAGCTACTGTGATGTTAAGGACTAATCTACAATTACATTTTTATCAATAGATTTTATGATTGTACTCCACAATCACTAAAAATTTTTAAAAATACTAATTTTTTACATTTAAATATCCTCTTTACAATTTATACTTAGTAATTCATAGGAAATGCATAGTCTTTTTCCAGCATGCACATACTGAGAACCTACTAATGATAGCCCTGCTTATTCTCCATTTGAGGAATGCTCCCAAGAATAAATCTCCCAAATTCTAGACTCATCCAAGGTGAAACTTCCACCTCAAATACTTTCTTTTGAACTTCAATCTAATATATACTACATGGTAGGATAAGCAACCAGCATTTGCACTGCACAGTTGCAATTTTATACTAATTTGAGTGGTTGTTTGATCCATGTTTATCCTCCCTAACTAGACTCTAAGTTCCATGAAGACAGGAACCCTACTGGGTTTAAGCTCATTTCCAACATCCCCAGTTTCCTAGCACAGGCTTAATGGATAGATATTTATATGCAGTTGATCACTAAAAGAACAAACGACTAGCTAGTACCTTTACATAGGCATTGACTTTGCAAAGAAAAAGCTAAAACATTGTGCTTTTAGAACATTCCATGGTATATAAAACAAAACATGGGTTTATGAACCATAATGAAAACTTTATTAATATTGGCTCAACATCCTAAAGGGCACTGCATTTTCTTGAGGAAGAATCTCAACAAATTTTTACATTAACCCTTACTTTTGTAAGTTCTGTAATAATGTATGTTTTATTGCATTTCCCAAAACCTTATTAGGTGTTAACAAACCTGAAGGACATCTAGCAAATTCCTCGGGCTTTCTGAATTAATCTCATTCCAAAGAGATGTTTCACAAACACAGTTTTTTATGAGCATGGATAACATATTTGACAGCTTTACCTGAGTAAATATTGACTCACACAGCCAGCCCCAGGTATTAGCCTACCCAAATGAGGACAAAAATCTTCCCAAGTTTTACAAAACATGCAGAGCAAGAACACATGGCCAGAGAATGACAACAAAAATAATAGAGAAAGAATGGTTCTCAGGGAGAGAAGTTGCTGGTATTGATTTAGCTTTTAGCTTGAACTCACTGAGCCATATAAAAACAAATCCACTGTGCAGTACCATCACCTTGGCAACCCCACTCTAATGTAAGAGCAGAGATGGAAAGAAGAACACTATATTTATCTGTATCTAACTGCACAATCAAAAAAGAATATAAACTCAATGCATCCAACCCTTTTGTAAAAAGTAGCTACTTTTTATTTCCTCAAAAGCCTTGAGTTCAGAAAGAAAAAAAGGAACACTGCCAGTAGAGAGAAATTACATGTGTGTGTGAGTCTGTGTGTGTCTGTGAATATAATTTTCCATGTGCCCATGTAAAACGTAAGCTAAAGAAATATGAATTGGGAGCATGCAGCTGAGGAGATGTTTAAAATGAGCTCTCAACAATCCTGCACTTAAAACAGAACTCAGAGAAGGCACACTGAGGTGACAGCTGACTTGGAGATCTACAGTGCCCTGCCTCCATATTCACCAAAGAATTTTTACCTGCTGGATACACCATTATGACTCTAACTTTCCATACGAATCAGATGGGAATAAAATATGCATCTTCTAGCTTCATTGCACAATACCAAGTACGAATGATCTGCTAGAACAATAAATTATTCATACAGTTTAGGAGTTAATTAAGCATTTGAATGGAGATCTTTATTTCAGAGCATAGTAAATTATTTTAACTGATTTTAAAGGAAAAAATGACTGAATTACCATAATCCATTAGGTTCAAGAGAAAAGCTTTCTAGTATTTTATTTGCATGCCATGCTCAAGTAAATAGTGTAGTCTATCAAAATCTATTACACAAAAGATTACATTTATTCTTAAACAGTTGAAATTTATATGTACAAGCTTGTTACATCAAAAAGTTATATCAATCCTAAATTAGAATACTTATGGAAAAAGTCATGTTTCCAAATAGT